AGAAAAGGAAGGCTTTACGGAACGGTAGAATTTGTTTCACGTTCGGCGCCGGTGGAGATTTATCTGTCTGCCTTCCAAGGACACTGATAATCGGAGTGGTGGCACTGTTGATGGCGGAGGCTCAGGCCTGTATGAAATGGTTATCAGAGCTGTGGATACCGGACCAGAGGCTTGCTTGCTACCGTAGGCTTAGTTTATTTTAAAAATAGACCCAAGTTCTTTTTTCTTTTTCTTTTCCGTGGCAGGGTGCTTGCTCTACCAAGAGCGTGACCACGATTAGGCCTCCCATTAGCCTGGCAAGGTTCTTGACCAGGATATGATATATCAGCACTTTGTGCCCATAAACCGGACCAGCAGTTTTTCTCACTACAGTATCATACTCCACTACTCGAGTATTTATCTGCAGGGGTTAGCCCCAATAAGCGAGTGCTTGAATGTACTCCGAGTATGTACGATACCTGCATATTTCACCATTTCTTACAGGTTTTTTTTTTTCGAGGGTAACTTAAGTGCGGGAAACCCCTGCCTTTATGGTGTGGCATTGGCGGTACCGGGCCGACCGAAGGTGTAGGGCAAGAGCGGGTTCCGAAGTGCTTCTTCTTTCCCTTTTGCATTTATCTTTGAATCAGGGCTAGGGGCTTGATCCGGTAGACGTGGGTGGTGGTGGTGGTGGTGGCTGCAGCTTCGGGCTGGTATTGGCTGTGGAGGCCTTTCAGCTTCATGCAAAAAGTGCTGTACTCGTACCTGGAGATACGGGCAGCTGTGTGATGGGTCAGCACCTCGGCGGCCGAAAGAGATTGATAATTTTTTTCTTCCCCCTTATCGCTCTCTGGTCCGTTATGACGAAACCTGAAAAACTTTGGTGGTGGAATGTGCGAGTGATCGGGCGTGACCTGGCCACTGCCCCCTCCCTGGACCGTCGTGCCGGGGCGGAAGGGATTGTGACCAAGGTTCCAGGAGCCGGTATCGTGGTTCATCACGGGATATTGGATTGGGGTCTGGGGCTGTCCGGAAGGCCTGCCAGATAATGGGATATTTCATTCCGGCTGTTCAAGGGGGGTCCTGATCCTCAGATCTCTCCGGGTTTCTCCTCTTAGCGGAGGCAATGGAGCGAGTAAACTTATCGTACCTAAATATCCGCCCCTAGGGCCTCATTCACGGCCCGAGAATCGCAAATGATAAACGGGTTCCCACACATCTCCAGCACGTGGATAGCTGGGAGAATAAGGTGAAGCAGCCCTGGAGTATGGTGGACTGGGGGGAGGGGGGGAAACCCGGAGGTTTCTAGAATAATTATCGGTGATCTGGGCTCTAAAAGTGGTCAATTGGCTCGCCATAACTTTGAACCAGGAATGTGCCTTCTTCGAGCACGACCCGTGTTAAATCAGTTAGTAGGCCTCCTCGTGTCTTACGGAGGGGAGGGGCGATATTAAAACTGTAGGTTCTCGTAAGAGTTGGATGGTCGCTATGATAGTTGTGGTAAAGAATTATTATACAGTTCTTCCAAACCCCCTTCGTTCGATTGTTTACTCGAGTCACTGTCTAGTGAGTTTACTTTATAGTGTCGAAATAACAGTCTTCCCAAGATTCGCTTGGCACTTTCGCTTCAGATCCTTCTCCTCAGCGCTCCTCAGCTTCCTACACGGCTCCCCCGCACGAGGACTTGCGGTGGTCCGGGGAATATCCATGAGTAGCTGGGGGGACTCGGATGTTGTGAGCTCCACAATTACTAACAGAACTGGGAAGTTCTGGAATATCGTGCTAAACAGCTCCTGTTCTCTAAGGATTAAATAGTGACAGTTACAGGACAAACCGGGGGGGTCGGTAGGGGGACTAATATTGGGTTTGAATAAGTTTTGCAGTTCCCATTTTCGTTCATCTAGTCTAGGCTGCTCCAATCTCTCGATCGTCTAAGGATATTGTCGGATCGGGTTTATCAAGTTTTATCTCGGGCACTCCCACGGCTAGCCTTAGAGAGGAACTGGACGGGACGAGCGGTGCCATTACAAGCATTCCTAGAGATTCAATTGTGGAGGGATCTGTTCTGGCATCTCGCCTCAAACAGAAAGCTCAAATTTAGGTAGGAAATAGGATAACCAAGTATCCTTATTTGATATTGGCGCTCTTTTAACAATCTACGGGGTCTACTCCTGAAGGAATATATGGGTGGTAGCATTCTAGAACCACAGAATGCTAGGAAAAAACTGATATCTTTGGAGGGTTTGAATGAACGAAGGGGTGATTCGGTATGGTCGGGAGCAAGGAGACTATGCAGTTTTTCCCGATAGATTGAATACCGACAACGGGTAATTATCCTGCTACATGGGATTGATTGGACACTGGGAAGAAGTACTCGAGTACAGTACTTGTACAGTTTAATGCGAGATATGATACAAAACAACTTTTGAACCCCCTCAGGGACCCAGGATAGGGAGGCAATAAGAGAATGAGTTCCCCTTTTAACCAAGCTGAGGGCTTTCGAGAACCCCCGCTCCATTTACGAAGTGGTATAATAATCCCGGGGATTGGAACAACCTGAAGTTAGTAAGTAAATTGAACTAGCCCCTATATTCAGAAGGAACTTTTGTTTGGCTATGCATTTGCTTTCCCGATTTCTATTCCAATGGAGAACTTGCTTTCATGCCAGATCCAAACGAGCTGCGTGAATAAATATATATAACATAAACGTTCTTCTCAGCCGTTCCTCAGGCACGGTTTAAATGGTTGTTTCTGTTTTGATTGGCTGGCTTCTGGCGTGGGCGTGTGCTGGACTACTGTCTTAGGAATGCTCAAGCTGAAGACTGACCCAAGGACCGTTTTAGCCCATCAAGGAGTGGATGACTATCGAGCGGTCACACGTGTGCATCGCACGGCATGCCCACTGGGGAGTTAACAGAGACTGATATACTGTCAATTAAAGACGTTGCACGGTGGGGAGTAGTTGGGAGCAGGAGGCACTGGCAAATCTTCTCTAGATGCATCTGATATCGTAGCAGAGCTATAGAGAAAGGTGATATAGGAGTCAACAGCAAAGTTTCGGAGCAAGGAAAGTAGAAAATAGCAATATAATATGCTGGCAAAACGATCTGTCCTCCATACTTCACGGTATATGATAATTGATCCTGCTCAGGCCATATACATAGTAGCTAACTTTGAAGTAAATTTTTTCAAGAAAAAGGAGAATCCCTAAAAGGAATCTCATCGGTGACTTAGCACTAAAGTCTCGGGAACAATACACCCCGTGCTCGTGTACTAGTACTCGTAGACTCAAGTTCAAGCGGTTCCTGCGCCGGTTCAGTCGGCGGTATTGATCCTGTTTTTTTTTCTTTTCCCGCTTGCCGCCGGTACCCCCTTTCTTGCCTGGGCAATGCTTGGCGCACCCGAGATCCTACCGATATCTGTGCACTTTCCTTACCCGATCCACAAGGCACCGTGACCAATTGTTGCAATTTCCTCAACTCGTCAAAATGAACCCATAGCGGGTTGACATGGCGATTTGTACCGATAATTCAGGTGCGAATAGCTTAGGGGGCGTTTGGCGCCTCAAAGTTTGTGCATGCAAGGTACAGTACACCAAACCGTAGTATACTCGAGTAATGATGTAGAAAGATTCTATGTTACAAACCATGTGCAGCCAAACACACCCTACCTTATAAATTGTGGATGTAAGGTAATATCATACCTTACGAACCTTGACGTGCCAAACACCCCCTTATTATTTTCTTCAGCTTAACTCCTACTCCTGTCCGTGTAGCGCTTTGACTTCAGAAAAGTCCTCTCTGTGCGCTTTTCTTGCCCGTTTTGCAGGGTGCCGGCTAAAATAGAGACTAATGAGAGAAGGAAGCTCCATCTTCATTGATGGTACTCACCCTTAAAAATTCAGCCTCTCAGTAACTCCCTGATCGGTCTTCCCTATTGTCTCTTTCCATGGCAGCTCGTAGGGGAGACAATGGATCAGATAGGAGGTGCAGAGGTTTGTAATAGGAGTGGGTCTGATCTCTCGATGGCCCAATGTATTGAGCCTGAATTGGCCTGCTTGTTCTGAGATTAATATATGCGCCACAAAACCCCGTTTTTTGGCGTCGATAGCGCATAAATTGGATCGGGCGCCAATACGCAATCCTGATAATATTTCAGTAAGGAGATGCTACGGTATTGTACGAGTACTCGAGTACTTGTGCCCGTTTCGCATGATCTTCAAACACATGCACTGAACATTCGGTCCCGAACATGGATGCCTTCAACAGATAATAAAACAAGCCTAAGAGCTGCTAATACTTCTCTCCTGCTTAGTTCCTCGCCTCCCCCTGACTATATCTAGCAGCATGTTTTCTTTCTTTCCTTCTTTTACTGCACTTCGGACATTCCGTCGGCAGATGACTCCCCCCCTGGGTTCCGCGGGGTCAACTATCCAGAGTACCCTGCAGGTGCTCTACTCGTAGAAATTGAGAGGCACCGGTACCCCAGAGCAAGGGTTGTGGGCTTGTATGAGCTCTCAGATACGTACGGGTTTCTTGCCCTCTACTAGTACTGTGCGCATCTATTGTACAGGTATCAATGGTACGAAACAAAAAGCAATGCTCGACCAACGTCCACGCAACCCTCTCTCCGCCGTTTTCGTTTGAAAGGATTGACGTCAGGGGTGTAGGATCCTGGGAACATGGAACTAACATACCGAATAGCACATGGTATACACCCCTGGGTGTGATATATTCATATCGCCTCACTCGACCTTGCCAAGAAATTTTTCACCTAACCTTACCCCGCCGAACCCCGGAACACCCGGCAGCGCGCCACCGCACGGGGGAAATAAGGATTAAACGGTTAAGAAAAACGATGTTTTCCAATGGCACATCGAGTGATCGCCGGATATCAGGTACAGTCGCGGTGGGGAAGTGCACCGGCGGAGGCGGACGGAAGGAGTGGATGCTGCGAGTAGGGGGTTGTAAGTTTGGGCGGACTGCTCTTTTCTATATCGGTAGACTGTGCGAGTAAAGTACGATGGTGATCTCACACAATATTGATTGATGCCGGAGAATCATCAAACACACTAGCACTCGTTAGCACATACTGTAGAGCATTTGTCGAATTTCGGGAAATTGCTCCAAGGGGCATATCTTGATGCGCACCTGGAGTCTGTAGGAGATGTGGGCGAGAGTGTCCGAAAATAGGTTCCAGTGCGAGTGCCACTGCCCCTGGGGCTTTGCGATATGATACCTGAAAATTTTTGCGGTTGTACCACGAGCACCAGGCACCATATCGTACTTGTAATACCGGTATGTACCGGTACTCGTACGGTGCAAATGGATTATCATATCAAGAGATGCTGTGATGCGCTCAGAGTTGAAGGTCTGATTCCCAATGCCTGGGGCCCGGCTCGATACCGTTGTTCCACCGGGCGCTTGTCAAAACGTTGTGTAACTAGCTTCCGTACCGTGCCATATCTTTCACGGTGGGTGAAAACAACGATGCATATCCGTGCACGTCCCGGGACCCGAGAAAAAAAAAACGAATATAAGCCCAGCAACTCCGGGAGAAACTCGGGAATGAAAGCTTCCCCCGCATCACAAACCAACTTGAAAGCTACCCGTGATTACAACAGCGCATCGTCTAAGATAGAGTCATCGCATGGATCGACCGGGCACTCAAACGGGCCAGAAGCAGCCCCCGTTGAGACTCCTGTCGCTGGGTATTTGTCCTGCAAAACCCCGCTTTATTTTTCTGCTCACTACTGACGGCTACGTGATTCTTTGTCCAGATGGTGGGGGAGTTAGAGGATATAGCATGATCATGATTCTACAAGAACTTATGCTAAAATTATTCGTTGAGATGCACGGCCGGGCGCCCAGAAGGGAGGAGATCCCTAAGCCATGCGACCACTTCGACCTGATAGGGGGCACTGCTACTGGCGGGTATGCCATACATTCCTGGTTTCCTGGGGAGCTTAGGGACATGGGGCTAATCTGGGTAGGCTTATCGCGATTCTAATCGGGCGGCTGCGACTTGATCTGGAAACTTGTAAGGAAGTATACGTGAAGATGGTAAAGAAGATATTCGAAACGGACAAGACAATCGCCGGGCTGCCGTATCGGAAAACCTTGTTTAAGGCTTCAAAACTCGAGGAGGCCATCCGGGAGGTTGTACGTGAAACTAGCATACAAGACGGAGAAGAGACGGTGAATATGTTTATCGATCCAAAGAGTCCGGTCGCACAAATACGGCGGAGGCAGACTCCCAGCTCCCTTCCAGGGCCACATGATGGGGGTCGGAGTAGTCTGAAGCCAGGATCATCGCCTGGTATACAATGGGGAAACGAGAACGCGCTTCTACACGACTTGAGACAGGGGGGTTGCAAGACGTGAGTTCATGGCTGTGGCTGTCCGGGTAATCTGCTCTGTGCTTATGGTCTTGACTCAGGTTCGTGACTGCTGTCCACAAGGGCTCAGACGAGGCATCTTCCCCGACATTACTCAGAACATATGACTCGGCGCATGGAGCATACCCACCTGCGGACTGCACTATTTGGGAGGCCGGAAGGGCAACTTGTGCGACTTATCCTGCTTTCAAACACATTCAGATCGGACAGAGCACGTACCTAGATGAAGGCTCCGGGAGATATAGCCCCGTCGCTCAAGTTCTTGAGGAAGCACTTGTGCACGAATGGCCCGGCAGAGAAGTGGGTGTTCTGGTCTCATTGGGGGGCGGGAGGAGCCTAGAAGCGGCGGAGGCCAAACAAGGACCCTCTGCGATTAAGTCGGCCACACCATTTGGAAAGATAATTGAGGCCAGAGAGAAGCACCGCGCGAAGGTAGTTGACTGTGAGGATATCCACCAAGAGCTGTTACAAGGCCTGCACCGCACCGGTGTACAGAAGGAGAATTACTTTAGGCTGAATGTCGAGGTTGGGATTGCCGACTTTGGCCTGAACGAGTGGAGCAGGTTGGCGGATATATCGAGCTGCACTCGAAAGTACCTTGGCCGACAGGATATTCAAATGATGAACAACTCGGCAGCGAGTAAACTGGCCGAGATTCATCGCAGCAGCAAGGGTCGTCTCAATGTAATAATCCTCCTTGAACTCCAATTTAACCTAACCCGGTAGTAGCTAACTTGTTGCTTGATAGCTGGAAATACTCAATCGAGAGTTACCAGATCTGCCAAACGAGGCCTTTGACTCTGATAGCGAGGAGGACGAGGAGGTAGCCAAACACTTTGAAGAGCTACACAGGATAAAGATGAAGATTAGAACTTGATGGGTTTTCTATTCTCCCACCCGCACTGCATGGGGATGTTTCGGATACCGGTGCCTGGTGTTTGTGGGATTTTGCTGCTTAATTTAGAGTAATCGAGGGAAGAAAAGTCGAATGATTAAGATATTTTGTGACACCGGTTTTGTAGCACGGATGTTGGAGGTGAAAGCTCCTCCGGGATAAGATGGTTATTGGACAACTGCATAGTTGGCAATTCCTATTCATACGGTACATAACCCTCCACCGACGCCGAAGGGTTGTCAATGCTGCCCCGTGCACCGTCGAGATCGAGTTCCTTATTTTTTTTTCCTGTCTCCCGCGATAGCCTGCTTGGCATAGACCTGACAAACTGGGGATTGGAATACTCGAGTACTGGTACTGCGTTATCTAGCTACTGGATACCGGTACGGTACTCGGACAGTTTATCATACCGGCACTGGAAATGAAAGGACTACCCTATCGAAAGGGACAAAAAGGGAAGTTGCCGCTAGGATGGCACCGCCCATATTCAGCCACAGCGGGGGGGGGGCACAGCATACCCCTCACTACTGGTATTATATTGTGTCGGCGGCTTACGGTACGGTAGTGTTATCATAACAAAATAAACAAAAACAATCCCGCAAGCTTCTGCTAGTATTGGTATCCCTATTTAAGCTCCTCCGCTGGCATTCGAAATCTTTTCATGTAGACATTCGTAAAGTTCTTGCGCGCACCATTTGTTATCGGCTCGGGGATGTCTTTTTGTTGTTGGGGTTGCAGTATTTAAAGGGGCGGCGGAGTGACCTTCTGGGATTGGAATATGAACGACAACGGGAACAAGGTGAAGGCGAGAGCAAGAAAGCAGGACAGGAAGCAAGACTAAGCATAGCTAGAGATCAGATCCCTTCTTCACCTTGGTGAGCGATGATGATTTTTTATTCCTTCCTTTTGATCTCATTCGTTCCTTTCTCACAGTTTCTGGGCATCGAGCTCTTTACTGGATAGAATGCACCCCATCGCCGACAACCCACAAAAGAAGGCCTGAACCACGAACACGAACCGGCAGTACCGCACATCTATCGGATTAGTACTGTTTTGGAAAGCCGATTGAAAACGGCAGGAGTGCGCCAACTTGACACCAGCTATCCCCTACAGTCCTCAACGGGGGCAATGACGAAAAGCGGCAGGCAGCGAAGAGGGGTATTTGGTAGGCAACAAGGTGATCCCGTAAAAGCACTGGTACTTGTATCATGCTGTATGATAAGATAGCAAAAATACTCGTTGCTACCGTAATCATCGCCTGCCGGTTTTTGTCATGCTCTTGTCCCTGTTGGAGACTGTACTCGTATTGGTATTATACGAGTACGGCACGAGGACTTGTGCGGTAGCACCCTACCGGTATTCCTAAAACGGGGAATTTCGGTACGGCATGATATCGGCCCTGGTCTCAATATCGCACCTGTTCGTTCTAGGTTGGGTTAGCTTGGCGGCAACTCAGACCGTCTGCCGTTCGGGAGCGTCCCACCACACCCTATCCGTCGTCAGGACAGGAAGCACACTTCAAGTCAGTCCCAAAACCAGATAATAGCGCAGAAGGTCGTCATATCATCAAGCTTGCCGAGCTCCGAGTTTCATTTTGAGCACCTGAACACAAATCTCTTGTCTTGACTCACCCCGGGAACAAGCGGCCGGCCGCAACGGCACCGCCATTCCATCTACCAGCATCACAAGTAAACCCCTTGGTTTACCAATCCAACCCAAGACGTGTGGGTTCCTAGCCATAGGGATGCGGGGATCACGTCTTGTCGGTAAAAAGAGGTGAGGTGGGATAGGATGTCGGATAAGGAAGTAAGGGAGAAAACCTTCCCGGGGAGACAGGGCTGTGCGCGGGACCCGCGCCCCCACAATGCATCTAATGAGGGGGTTTTTAACTCGATACGGATTTTGTGGGGTATCTTATCAAATTTGTAGGATTGTGTGATTGTAGTGGATTGTGGAGGATCCTGTGTTCGTATCGCGGTAGACGCTGGGAGAAGAGAGGGGGTATAATAAGCTACAGTCCCACAATTTCCCCCTCTTTAGTCTTGTTTCTGAGATCAAATTTGGTTGGTGATTTACACCGTCACTATAGCTGCACTGAACGAAGTGAAGAGAAGGAAAAATTATGGCCACAACAATCGTCACGATCCCGCCCCCGGCAGCCGCAATTGAGCTTGATAACTGCCGGATTAGTGCGGGGTCAAACATCCCACCGAGAGACATACGCTCCCACCCGCTCTGCGCCGGCGATGAGGAGAACTCGGCATTGGACGGGCAACCACCGGAGGGCATGATGATCTTCGAGCGACCGAACGTATCAACAGTGAAGGGGAAGCTGCTGGGCACGAATTTCTCCGTGTTCGTTTCTGGAATGAACGATAGTAGCACGGGTGCCTTGATACCGTACTTGCAACCGGGGTATAATATTGGGCTTTTGTTTGTTGCACTTGTGTACTTCTCCCCTCCCTACCCCTCTCCAACTTGCTCCTAGAATAGTTACCAAGAAATTGCGTGAATGGCAGCTACCTAATAAACTTCTCGGGATGGCTCGTCGCCGCATTCACGAACGTACACTTGACCGCCCGCCTGGGCATGGGCGGCGCCCTGACCCTCGGCGCAGCGTTCCAGCTTTCGGCATACTGCCTAATGTTTTGGAAACCCCCATATCCACTCTTTGTATTTTCATTCTTCCTCTCGGGCTTAGGAATAGCCTACCAAGATGCGCAGGCAAACGTGTTCGTAGCAAACGTGAACAACTCCCACAGATGGCTAGGCATCCTACATGCCGTATACGGCGCGGGAGCCCTACTCGGCCCATTGGTCGCTACAACTATCGCAGCGAGGACCACGCATTGGCATTACTTCTATTTGGTCACGTTGGGGTTTGCCGCTATCAATTTGGTATTGCAGGCGTGGACGTTTCGGGATGGGCTGTTTAAGGGAGCTGCGGCTGCAAAGGAGAGTGCTAATCGAGATCTTAAGAAGGCGCTTTCCGAGAGGACGGTCATTGTGCTTAGTCTGTTTTTTTTCTTGTATGTTGGCACGGAGGTTACTACTGGAGGTATTCCCCCTCACCTCATTTCTTGGGATTGAGATTTGCCGCAGGTAAAGGTTAACTGATGCTTAGGTTGGGTTGTGGAGTTCCTCATCCGGGTGCGGGATGGTGAGCCCTCGAAAGCCGGATATGTGGCATCAGGCTTTTGGGCTGGTCTTACCGTGGGAAGACTTGCCCTCGCGGACGTTACCCATAGGCTTGGTGAGCGCAGGATGGTTTTTATATATATCATGCTTGCTCTCATTGCGCAGTTGATATTCTGGTTTGTGCCAAACATAATTGCGAATGCGGTTATGATTTCGCTCTTGGGATTCTTTCTTGGGCCTTTTTTTCCTACCGTATTACCCCACCTCGCATTCCCCCGCACCCCTTCCGTTCCACTAATGAGAATAGGGTATCTCCGTGGCGACCAAGGTTCTTCCTAGAGGATTACATGTTGCATCAATTGGTTAGCCTTTATGACCCTCCCTTAGCTTTCTGCCCCCCCATTGATTGTTGACCTTCCTCCAGGGTTCGCAGCGACAATGGGACAGGCCGGATCTGCCGCCTTTCCGTTCTTGACCGGGGCCATTGCTGCGAATTTCGGTGTTAAGGTTCTCCAGCCTATACTTGTGGGGTTACTGGCTGGGATGGCGATATTCTGGGCACTTATTCCGCGTGTTGCGAGACATTCTTCGTGAAGAGCTTTGAGGATCGAGTCACATATGATACCGGCATAGGTCGGTAGGACTATTCGTAGTTATATACCTGTTCATTTACCTGTAAAAACCGAAATAATTTGGAATCTCGCTGTGACGTTGGAGTGCTGGCGTCGCCTCTCTTACCGAATCAAGCCGTAGCAGCAAATTGATTATCGCCGTGCAAGGTCCCTATCTCCGTTTTGAGACAAAAGCCCCGTAGAGTGCCTACTGTACCGGTAGCAACTAGACGGAAGCGGAATTGGAAGATTACTTCAACTACTGTCGGGAAACCTGTTCCTAATAACATACTATCAACCCCAATCCGTTTCTCCGGGGAGACCGAACGTTGATTGCCGACGGGATGGCTAATTTGACGAGTCCCAATAAGGTGAATGCTGTAAGGTGTTCGAATGTCTGGATCTCGTCTTAGGACTGTGGAGTTGCCTTGTCTAGCAAGGTCTGATAAGTCCTTTTTCTCCCTATGATACTATATCTTAGACTAAGCCGAAGGGGTCGGCTTTAGTGGCCTTTTCACCTACCTCTGCGTTATTTAGGGGAGGGAGGGCACTTTGCATGTCCTAGCTTGAAGTCCAACTATCCCTTCGTCCGTCCCGAATTCCACTTACTTTTAGCATTGGACTGAGAGGAGGATCGGGGATGGCTAGCGCAGGATGGGAGGGGTTAGATCTGTAGATCTAAATGCTGGAAAACACAAGTGAAGAATGCAACGAACAAAAAATGGAAAAAGAATACACATGTCCTATCCCTTCGTTCGTTCCCGAGTTTCACGACCTTTTAGCGCGTAACTTGTCCTCCGGTCTTCAAAAACTAGGCTCATGAAAGGATGGCTGCGGTTGCTCAATGGTGACCTAGCCAATAGAATTTGTGGCTCCCAAGGAGTCAATTAGTCTTTCCCTCAAGTAGCGAGACTATCTCCCTATTCGTCTTGGGCGTGGGGTCCTGAATACAGACGAAGGGATATGCTAGGTGGTGGAAAATATCCCCCTGTGAGAAATACAGCAAAGATCTACTTCTGAAAACGAGTACAGTCACTCGACAGAAGTGTCTGTAAAACCTGTCTCGTGTTAGTCATGTACCCGCCATTGTGAAGTTGACCAGTATATGCGAGGTTCACAGTATGTTCTTTTTCTTTCCTGTGATACCATCGTGACTGATCACAACCAAGAGACTACAACTGAGAAACCATAACCGAGAGACTACCATGACAGCCAACATAAGTCCTTACTGCTTCTTTATTTTTCTTTCTACTATCGTTAATTAGTAAAGTTCTCATTAGCACTCTGGCCTCATATTGGAAACTTCTTCATGGCCAGCAATATCTTAGTTTTCAATAATATCAGCTATCTACCATTTACCTGGTTCCTTTAGTGGTATCCTTGAAGGTTCAGTGATCAGCCTAAAGGTTCAGTGATGTACTTAGGAGTCGAGCAGTGTGTTTGGGGGTTCGACAGTATGCTGGAAGATTTAATAGTGTACTTGATGGTTCAGTGGTGTGTTTAAAGGATTGATTGAGGCTCACTTCTGAGTTGATGCCCTTGCAGAGTCCAGTTATGTGTTGGTGTTTGTTCTTGAGCCATTGACCCAGTATTGGCCAGCTTGTTGACAACTCCTACATCTCCTTAGCTTACAAGCTTCAATTATATCATAATCATCACCACTATTGCAATGGTAACATAACTCCTTTCAGCTATAGCCCTGGTTGTTACTATGCCAACTCACTTAAGTTAACTTGACTGTAAAGAGGTACAGCCTATAAGTATTGTATATTCCACTAACAGGAGATGATGTACTTGTAGGGAGGAAGGGCAGCTAAATGGGAATATTGGCTTGGAGATCCTTGCAAGGGGTAAAAGCTTTTCATGAACCTCGCCTTCCACTACACTTCTAAGATGTTACTATCCAGTCTCCAAGCCTGAGAATTTTCTCTTTCACTTCTTAATTAATTAAGTTATCATTAGCTTGGGCCTGTACAACATACTAGGATGTGTTAAAAATTCAGTCAAACTTGAAGTCTGATTAGGTTGGTTGAAATAAGGTATGTATGATGTGAATTCTGTAGCTGAATAGTTCATAGATGCTAATATTCCTTCAATAGGCCCAGGCTGAACCTAAATACCTGGTATATCGATAAATACCAGTCTCAATTGTGGGAAAAATACGTCCAATCTACAATGCTGAGAACCTGATTACTAGGAATAAAAATGCCAAGAATTTGATTACTGGAAATGCAATTGTGGAGAGCCCGATCGCTGAACGAAAATACTACAGACCTAGGGACTTCAGACCTCACATACAATCAGAGACAGGACTGTCAACTTCTCTGCTTCCTAGGATGGAAGCATGTACAGATTCAGGAGAAGAGTGGATTTTTCTGATAGCAAATTCAGTATGCCTGTACTTCACTGCCTATCCCTAAAAAGAGACCAGGCCATTCTCTGGTCCTTACTCAAGCTCAGATTTGAGAACCATGTTACATATGCCAGTATATGCATGAGTGTCAGGAATCAGTGCCTCACCTTTCAACAATTGGTACTAGAGTTGGATTTTAGAGTTGGAAAATCTGCCATTAGATCAGCTCTGATCAAGGAAGGATTTCACCATTGCCTAGCAATAAGGAAACCTCCTATTACTGAATGCAATCAAGTATTTTGACTGCAATGAGCTTGTGACTATGTCAACTGGTCAATGGATCAATAGTTCTCTATCTTATGGACCAATGAGACCTGGATCCCAGGAGGGAGGCATACAAGAACTTGGGCAACTAGGAGACTGGGGGAAGAGTGGGATCCTACTTGTATAGTAGAGAAGCACCAAAGAAAGCATGGATGGATGTTTTGGGGCTGCTTTCATGAGAAGACTCAAGGTCCAGGAATTTTCTGGGAAAAGGACTGGGGGTCTATTAATTCTGAAAGTTACTATACGCACACTGTTCCTATTATTGATGGATATATTGAATTGGGTAGCTAGGAAGGAATTTTTTAAGTCTTATACAGGATGGAGTACCAGAGCATGCAGCTGGCAATACAGTAATAGATCTTCAAGAAAGAGGTATTCAAGTTATTTATTGGCCTGCATTCTCCCCAGACTTAAACTCTATTGAAAAAGTATGGCATATTATGAAAAACTATCTACAAGATAATTTTCCTGAAAATATAATATATGATAGATTGAGGGCAGCAGCTTGAGTTAAACTGTTAGGGAATAGGTAACTCTAAAGTCAAGTGAGTATATACTAGGCCAGTGTTATACATAGAAGCGTAATCAGTATGGCACGTGACTAAATGCATAAGGTCACATGTTTAACTCCAGGCCCTGCCATAGTTATCATGACGGTATTACCGCATGAAACGTTAAGGCATCATGCAAGTCTATACCCTTTCACCATCCATAGATAAAGATAAGCGACCAAGGGGTTTTCACTAGATAACATAGAAGGAGCTCTGCTCTATAAGATAAGACTTAGTTGATTCGGATTGGTTAGTTAGTTATAGAACTATGACCTCTGTAAGTCTATACGCTATTACAAGAAGTAATATGTATGCCCCCTTAGCTCATGTGAACTAGAGTCATCCAGAAGACCTGTTCACAATTGGTTAATAACAACTCACTAGTCGAGTTAGTTATCTTTGTCATGCACTCTAAGCTATGTATATAGAAGAGTCATTGATAAGTCCTTTGATGGAGCTGATCACTCCACATAGGAAGAGAGCAGGAAAGTTAGTTTTCAGGGTTAAACGGAGTTTGCACTCCTAGAACACTAAACCATTAGCATGGCAGGTACATAGTCAGTAAGGAATTAGATGTAGCCCGCGACCACTCAGACGCAGAATGTAAATATCGAGGTACCTCCCTAGCTTTAAGTCCATCCTCTGTCTCTGCTACATCTCCGGCGATTGAAAACTCAACACTATGAGTTTTATCGTAAAACCATCACCACTTTCCTGCCCACTCCTACCTTTGGCTTCGGCCTAGGGGAGTCTGACTCTTCCCTCCTCTCACGCCCGGCCCAGGGTATTGACTTTAGTCTACCATTGCAGGGCTCTTTCTCTCCTTAGGGGTTGGTCGTTCAGAGGCCCTCCTTGGCTGGCTGGCAGGTGGTGGGATCCCTTCCACTACAGTGACGCTATCTCTCCCAGAACAAGGGACTACATGAGAGACGCGGTAAAACACCTGCTTTACTTTGCCTAGGCAGCCATTGATGATCTTCCTTACTCCCCCTTTCTCCTCCCTTCACACGTGGTGGGAAGTCCTCTCATCCTCTTGAGTTGGTCTTGCTTAGCCTTCTCATAGTCGGCAACCTCTTAACCACGATGGTCAGATGGCTGGAACTACAGTTACAGTAGGGGAGAACAGCCAACAGACTACAGTCGATCTCCCCATTCTCTTGCTCCCCTAGGAGGCTGCCTAGTCAGACACGAACGCGATACCAATAGACAATGCTTAAGGTCTTTGAGTCTACTCCTCCGCTCTCCTCTCTCTACGGTTGGATCGGCTGGCACCCTACTGCTACACCTTCCCCTCCTCCCGGTTATTGCCCATGGCCGGCTGGTGTCATCCTTCGCTCCATAGTAGTGCACTGCCTCTTTGGAGTGGGTCTGGGGGGGGCACCCTGTCTTAGCGCACTTCGGGCGTCACTTCCCGCTTGAATGAGTGGACTCACCCTTCGCAGCCTATGTGGCTTGCTACTAACCTTTCTTTTGTCTTTTTGGGATTTCTCAGCGGGTTTTCCTGGCCCTTCCTGCTTTCTTCTTAGTTAGGATTTCCTTGTTCATTCCTCTAGCCGGGCTTGGGTTTCTTTTCTTCGAGGCAAGATGTGCGGTTGCCGCCATACCAGAGGGGCTTGGGGGGTTGGCTTTTTCCTGTGGTGAGAGGAGGGATATGGGTTTTTTGTTGTCATAGCTAGCGCTCCATACGTTTTTTGTACCCTAAACAAATAATCAATGAGTCAAACAAAAAAAAAAAAAATAACCCTA